GAAGCACATCTTGACATGCCTTAGTGCACATAACATTATTCCACACATAAATGGAAAAGTTTACATGGACCAGGAATGGAAAATGGGAGGAGATAGTGAGGGATAGCATGGCATTTCCTTGCCTCCCAAGTGATAGGAGGTAAGCGGAGTTCATTTCCAGACAGCTTTTGGTGAATGCAGTGTGTTGGGAGAAAATGGTATCAGCACATCTTGACATGCCTTAGTGCACATAACATTATTCCACACATAAATGGAAAAGTTTACATGGACCAGGAATGGAAAATGGGAGGAGATAGTGAGGGATAGCATGGCATTTCCTTGCCTCCCAAGTGATAGGAGGTAAGCGGAGTTCATTTCCAGACAGCTTTTGGTGAATGCAGTGTGTTGGGAGAAAATGGTATCATGGTTGCACACTTTTGCTTTCAGATCAGTACCCCCAACAATCCCACTGTACACTACGTTAGCTTGGAAGTCACCTTATTCGAATGGACGTGAGCAACCACTCGAAGAAGAAAAGAACGGTTACTTACCTGTAACTGTTGTTCTTCGAGATGTGTTGCTCATATCCATTCGATTCCCCCCCACCTCCCCTTCGTCGGAGTGTCCTCTTAAAATCAGGAATAAGAGATCTTCCGGAAAAGGCTTTATTTTCCAAAAGATCCCGTCTAGACTGGCGCTTTTCTCCGGCAAAGCCCCGAGCCAGAAAAAAGCGGCAGCCATGTTCCTGCAAATGCCGTGGGGGGTATTTAAATTCCCCGCGGCATTTGCAATTCCGACTTGTCTCATTAGCATCCCTTTTCCGGAAAAGGGTGCCAATGTAGACACAGCCCTGGAGATTCCATGGATTCCCAGACTATAGATTCTATTTGTTCAACCCATGGACCAATAGGATGTCTCCTAGTGTGAAAGTTCTATGTCACTGGCACCTAGCCAAGGCCGGCCATCTTGTGCCAGCAGTGCCTAGGTGCCCAGAAAATGCAGCCAGTCAAGGAGCTCCCAAAGGACTGCACCTGTGCTGGACCACGCTCCAAACTAAGCTTGAGCATTGCTCTGCAATGCTCTGGATCCTTCTCTTGATCACCAGTGTCAGTTCTGTTAATTATAAAGGTACCTGCTTGGATGGTGGTTGGGGCTGCTATTCTTGTCTGTGTTTGTGAGGGATAGCTATTATAGAAAGTGCTGGGGGTTCTGTAGATAGTTCCCTCACTGCTCTGGATAGACCCTGTGGAAAATGCCGAGACTTTCTGCCTCATGTAGTTGTTTCGGAGCTGGAAAAGTTAAAAAGTTGTACTTTGTGGAGTAAATAGAGCGATCTGTTTGGTGAGGAGGTTTATAAGCTCCAGTATTGCCAACCCCATGGGTAGAAAAAGTCATGAATCAGGCTACTTAAAATCACAAGAGTTTACATTTTAAGTTTTTTAAATTGGTATTCTGGTTTTCGAACCTGCATGGTGCACTTGGGGCATATTTTACAAGTTTTTCTTTGCAACTATGATGGCTACCAACTTTTTAGAAAATGAAAGCTGAGATTTTTACATATTCATGTAACTCCAGGAGCTGGGGCTTCAAGAAAACCACCAAATATCACGAGAGCTTGCAACGCTGAAATTCTGACATGATTTTATTAAATGGGGGGAGCGCGTGAAGCTTTTTCACAATTTCAGTTCACAGCTTCAAGTTAGTTTATAATGGGGTCTACATACCATAAAGATGCAATCCTGTGTAGTTCTTCTCCTTGTGTGCCTGATAGTGAATGAGCAAAATGTCTTCGGAACTGCTCCTCATAAGCTTCCCCATAGCGTGTTGATTCTTGGCTTCAAGAGAACAGAATTGGGGTCAGTAAGAATATCAAATTTAACCCAATTGTGTTTCACAAGTCCTGGTATAAATCTGCAAGAACTGGTAATATAGGACAGCAAGCTTATTGGTTTGATTGTTGATGAATACATTTTGCTTCCATTTGCTCAGTGATCTGATCACATGCAAAAAAATTCCTATCTGGGTGTAGCTGCTTCTGGAGTCCAACTCCCAGCAGAATCAGAGGGAGAAAATCTACCATTCATTTCAATTCAAGTTGCAACGGCCCTTCTGTTTTCTGGGCCTCTTTAAAAAAATGGCCTTGGATTTGAAGGCGCCAAAGTTGCCTGGCTCTGTCCTAACATGGCTGTACGCAGCTGGCTTGTGATTCCTTGGTGCGTTCAGCTATGAATGGTTGTGCCTGGCTGGCTCCCTGGCTACTATCTTGAGATGTTTCATCTTGCCCCTAAGGTGCAGGACAAGCTCTGCCTTCCTGCTG